ACTGCCTCTAGGCCGAGCCATTGGGAGAAGAATGTTCTTTTTTACAAGCTCCACTTCAGGGACAACATTTGTTGGAACGACAGGTGGTGGAGGTGGTAACCCTCCCTCTTGCTTCATGCCACTCCCATTCGCTTCATTAGAATCCATCTCTGGAGTACAAAAATCAGAAGATGGATTCAGGTTACACAGAAAAACTAAGCCAGTAGAGCAAACGTCACACAGAAAAACTCATGGATTCAGGTTACATCATGACAAAAACACAGCAATCTTCACACAGTTACTTAATACCATTAAATCATCATAGCAGATAAAACATGATTCAGGAACAAAAAGAAAGCAGAACATGGCATTAACAAGAGCAGCAATCACGCAAAAACACTGATAAACCCATACTTGAACAGAGTACTAGAGATGAAATCTACAGATCCAAAGAACAGATTCGTCACAAACCCATTAGACCCATCACAAACTAGACTCAGATTTCTCAAAAGCAAACAAAACCATTCGCGTCATGCTTCAAGCAGCTTAAAGAAAAGTAAAAAAAGCGAGCATAGATATAAATTTCAGAACACCTCATACAAGCAAAACGAAGATATATGACAGCAACAATGGTGAAGAAGAAAGAGATGTACGTTACATGAAGATATATGACAAATAAAAAAATGGTCACCCAAAAAGCCAGAGAGAGAGAGAGACCTTTAGAAAAAGCGAATAAAACAATGAAGGTAGAGACAAAGAACACAAAGCAGCAAACGAAACCCAGAAGATTTTTCTCGGGAAAATGCAAACCAATTTTTTAGTAAAAGAAAAAACACACGCCAACATTTATTTTTCCAGATTTCTCAACAGAGATCAGAGAGAAGACAAAAATAAAAATCCTCAGTAGAAAAAATAAACAGCGAGTACTCAGAGAGAGAAGAAGACGAAAATCATGTAACAACGAAGCTTTAAAACGAAAAAATCCAGTGAGATTCAAAATAAACAAACACTACTGTGAACAAAAAAACAGAGAAACTCATGAAACAAAGAAAAAAAGAAGAAGCACGAAATCACTAGTTTAAAGCGTTTAACACCAAAAGAAGACGACAAAAAACGCAGATAAACCCTAATAGAGCAGAAATCGTTCAAAACAAGAGAAAAAACCACAGAAATCGACGAAATCAACAGAAATCATGCATGAAAGTTCAAGATCGAACATACATTGAACGATTTTTGAGTAAAAAACAAGCCTAGTACTTGTAGAAGAGACGAGAACCATAGATAAACAAAGATAAACACTAACAGAGCAGAAATCGTTCAAAAAACAAGAGAAAAATCGACGAAAACAACAAAAATCATGCATGAAAGTTCAAAATCGAAGATCTAAGTAACATACATTGAACGATTTTGAGTAATAGAAGACGAACCTAGTAGTTGCTAAAGAGACGAACGGAAAAACCCTAAACAGAGCAGCGAGCGAGAGAGAAAAAAAAAGAGTGATTATGAGAGGAAGAAGAAAGGGTTTGTTTGTTTGTTTGTTTGTTTGGTGGTTCACTAAAATCTTGGTGTCGCTTATTATAAAGCAGCAGACGCAAGTCGCAAGAGTTTTTTTAGGTAGGACCCACTTTTCTTTCTTTTCTTAATTTTTTTTTATTTTCGCTCCATATTCCTTTCTTTTCGTTTCAATGTCTTATCAATTTACTTCTCTCGTTACGTTTTATTTTTATTATTACGGAAGGAAATAAATACTTAAATAGTACAAGTTTATTGTTAGAAAACTTATAAACAATTTGATGAATAATGTTAGGTGATTTGATGTTATATGGAATTTTAAGAGTATATATAGAATCAAATCGTTTTTTTTTTGTCAACCGATCTGTAATTGATAAACTTGTTGGAACCAAGATGGAATACACAACCCAAACAAGGGAAACTAAAACCCAAACGAGAGAAACTAAAGCCGACGGACGAAGTAAAAGTCCTCGGAGTCAAAGAATCAAATCGTTTACAAGTAAATAGTATGTGGAATTTTATTGTTTCGTCGTCACCAATCTTAAATATGGATTCTGAGTTATACGATACTATTAGTGCAAATATTAAGCTACTACATATATAACCGGTTATTCGTCTTATTTGTTATGATCTGGTTCATGTTAACCATGTATCTAAAACATCTATGTATTAGAATTTTGCAACAGTGAATGAGTTATTGAATATACTAGTAACAAAAAAAGCTTTCTTCTCCACTTTTGTTTTTCGATTCATCTTTTCTTCACCATTCCTATTTATGTCCTTCTTTATGATTTCTGGTGCTAAAGATGTTGTTCTTTATTATAGTATTAAATGACTGGTGTATCTTTCTCCTCTTCCAAGTATTTTTTTGTTGGAATTCTAACAGTTTTACAAAAATACTGCTATACTATCTTCTTAGTGGAATTACTCTATCGATCATATATCAAGATTTGGAGTTGATAACTCTTTTTAAGTGAGGGCACGGTTCTGAATCTAATAAAGTACCACCATTGTGGATGGTATCAGTTGAAACTTGAAAGTGTTAGTTTCATTAATGAATATCTTTAAGCCATTATGCATTGATGGCCACATGACCCAAGTCTATAAAACTGTATAACACATGCTATGGTACAATAAACGAACTATAAATGACTTTAACGAACTATGATATGCAATGATTAATTCTTGAATCAAATCGATATATTCAAATATACAAAAGGAGCTATATGAACAAATTAGTTAGTAACATGATATATTAGTTACGTACCTATCTTTGTATTAAGAGCAAATGTAAATATTTGTTATTTATAATATAGTACTATATATATATGTCAATGTTTTAAGTTTGTAGTAAATAAATCTTAATATGATGACAAAAAACTAAACAATCAAATTTGAGATATGTTTATTCAATGAATGAGAAAAATGTGATGTTAATTTTTTTTCCAATGAACGAAGGACTTTAGAAAAGTAACGGGCAACTGTTTCTTCGTAATAAGCGTATCCATATTAGTATAATAAAGGTCTTACGAAAACATTGTTAAAGACTCAACACAAACGTTCTCATACCAATTCTCATTTCTCTAAACATTTTGATCCCGATAGTAAATAAATAACTATATCATGGAAGCTCATGGCATCATAAACTTTTGAAGTGTGTGATTCGACTAATATATAGTTTAGGAACATTGTTTTAAGCCCAAACCTTGAGAACTTTTTGATTTATGCAACCAAAAGTCTATTACCACAATGTGAAATTCTTGTTGCCACATTTATTTTACAAATGTTTCGAAGTCTCTTGACATGTTTTTTAGTTCTACATTGTGTGGTTGGTCTACTTGACAATCCTTTGAATTCTACATTTAGGGAAAAAAATATTTTTCATTCATCGAATGAAGTAAAAAACCTTACACATTTTCATTTATTCGATTAAAATACACCAAGCGAGACGAGCCAGGTGCTTATATGCTAATGCTATGCAGATCTCAACAGAGCAAAACGATTAAATTTGCGATGAGATGGATTTGATTCGCTTGAGTGCTTGTCATTGATATAGGTTTTTTTTTTTTTGCAGCATATATGTATTGTATGGTAAGTGTAGATATTCTAATAAACATGAATTTCGCAAAATGGTTTCACAAATAAATTTGGCCTCTGCAGTGACAATCCTAAATATTACTAATAGCTTTGAAGAGAACTAAACAATACTATTGGTTAAAAAATAAAAAGAACTAATTACATATTCTCAATTGTTGGAATATAAATATCTAAGTTTGACTGTTTGACTAATTCTTTGTTTGTCATCACCTCAAATTTTGATCACTGCTTTTGAAATTTGAAATTAGTAATTGAAAAAGTGAAAAGATTACAAAATCGTTTATACACCACGAAAAAGATAACAAAATTGTTTATGTACGTAATATATCTCTGTCCTGCAAATACCAAAGGTATAAAAACAAAATAGTAAATGCCTGCATTGTGTAGTAGAGAGAGTGGTACATGAAAAAACGAGGGCGTGTTTCTGAAATGCCCAGTGGAGTTTTTGTCATCTAGTATCCTTTTCTATTCCCATTCCTATGTTCTTCTCTCTCTCCTTTAAATGAATAGCAGGTTGTCGTTTTCATGTATACAAAATTAACTTCTGCTTTTTTCTTCTTCTTTTTAAATAACGTTATTATCCACTTATATCAGTTTTTTTATTTTATTTTTATCCACTATTTGAACTAACTAGTCACACACAGACACAGTGCACCAAATTGTTCGTTATACACTTATACTATTACCACGTTATACACTTATACTATTACCCAAAAGATTTGATAGTTCTTGTATGATTAGATTGGTCTTTATATCACTCTGGTATAAATTCTTCATAAACGAGAAAATACACATCTTAATTTTTTTATTTATTGGTTTGCAATTTCATTCCGGTGAATTACAAGTAAAGATGAATTTGTCGAAACTGTTTAACCAAAATTTGCTCATAAGTTCTACATTGCTAATTTCTTTCTTTTGTTTTCTAATTAAAGCTTTAATTTTCCAACTTATATTTCTAAGCTATAAACTATGCAAAACAAATTAGTAGTATAAATGAATAAACAAATAATTTAACTGATGTGACACACATAATTTTCAATCTACATCTTATTTTTTTTCATTATGCTGTAACCTGTAAAAGATATAATCATTACTCTTAAATATAGTTTTGCTTTTTGACAGTTCCTTTTTAAGTCATTTTTGCAATTCCAATACATTTCACTGTCAGATTTGCTAATTCTTCTTAATTTTGTACCAGTTTACAATTACGGAATTGCCACGACTCTTAACCACAACAAGCAAGCGCAAAAGAGACTTTTCGTGTTTCAGGGAAAAATAATAATTTAAAGTTGTACTAAAAAAAAAATTAGCTGTCAAATTAATTTTATTACGTCATCGTGTCGATTCGCTTCCCGCCAATCTCCCTCTCTCCCTCTCTCCGCAGTTTCTTTCTCCAAAAAAAAAACCCCCTAATTCTAAAACCCTAACTTTTTCATACGGTGAAATTGCGGAGGTCTGAGGATGGTAACGCTAAGCTGGAAGCACCATACCCTAATTCAGGCTTTGATTTCACGAGGTCCTCTCAAGGAGAAAGAATTTCACTCAATCTTCACCGGCGTCACCGGCAGAAACCCAGGTCTCGCTCTCTCCTCTTATTTTCTCGATTCGGATGTATATCAAAAAATTACTTTTGTGGGTTTGCGCCAGATTGAATTTCTATTGAATCAAAATCTGTAATTTACGCCAATTTTACCTCAGCCGCTATATAATTGCTCTGTTAAGGATAAAACTTCTCTTTTCCTGTAACATGTGATGGTTACTGGTCTTAGGTTTAAGCATAATGTTGAAAATGAGTTAATACTAAGTTTGAGGTAATGAAAGTGATTTGGAGTTGAATTACTGGTTATCGTATTGTTGGATGTTAAAGGAGCCATGGGGCAATACTTATGTTGATAATATTATTTCTTCTTTTTGTTGCAGGAACTGTGAAAAAGATATTTGACAAGTACCTTCTTGAGATAAACAAGGAACTCTCATATGTTCACTTTGAGTTGAAGGCTTGTAGAGATCAGTATGATGGTCAAGTTTGTTATGGAGTCGTTAACAATGTGTCTGATGATCAATCCAAACTCGGGACTAAATATTCTGTTCCGCAGATCGCTTTCTTTAAAGGCATTGTAAGTCACATTCTGACTTTTTCTGTCTGGCTTATGTTCTGTTCCTTGTTGATCAAATATCTCAAGTTCTAATCATTTGTACGAGTTAACATTATCTGGATTTCTCTCTTTTTTGCTACAACTTTATATTACATATAAAAGTCTGCTTTGTCATTCTCTTTTCGTCATATGTGTGCACTCAGATGGTAATGGATTATGTAAAGTGGGTATATGTGTTGCTTGCCTGTGATACTGATGACTTTAACCTATGGCAGATAGAAGCAATTGCACAGGATGAAGCTGCTCAAGGTTGCATATCGGGCTTTGATGCTCTTAATATCCGATTGGAGAATCAGGTCAATCATAGTCCTGACTTATGTCTATCTAGTATTTACCTCTTCATCTGTCGACAAACTGAATCCATCCATATCCATTGTTCAGTTAACTGATCATGACTTCAACACTGCTAATACCTTACAGAGTCGCTTGAAAGTATTCTGTTCTGTATGAGATATAATCTGAAACGGCAATCAACTTTGTCGCTTGTGGGCTTGCTGATCAAATTTGCATGCACTCTGAGTTGTATTTTTTTGTATGATAGAAAGTGTATCATCTCTGTTTATGATTGTTGGATCATTATGAAAAACGAATCCTAAATTTCTCAGCTTCTCTCATCTATCAGTGTGGTGAAGACAATTATTTGGGATCTTTCCCATATTACCATTGTGAATAATGAATTTCAAATCTATTATTGCTATGTGTTTGGTTGGACTATATAAACGTATTCTCGTTGTTTTGGTTGACAGATCTTGTGTTAATATCTCAGATATCAAGTGAAGCCAGCAGCAATCAACAGCAAGTCCCTCCTGCTTTCAGGAACTTTTCGATGTCGCAAAAGGAAAAAACTCTCGATGAACTTGTAAGGGACAAATGGCTGTGTCGCACAAGAGAGGGCAACATCGGACTTGGTATAAGATCTCTTCTTGACCTGCGCAGTTGGTTCAGGAACAATGATGTTCCTTCATGTGAGGTCTGCAATGAAGCTGGAGTAAAGGTCTGCATTCTGAAGAAACCTGATTGGATTAGGATTCACATTGTGATGATATATATTCGCTACTGATTTTATATCTGATGCTTTGTTTTCTGATACTCGTATCAAACTTTTCAGGCGGATTTGTGTCCAACCGATGGTTGCAATGTCCGGATACACAAGTACTGCCTCAAAAAATTGTTATCTCAAAGGGTATTCACTACAGACATCTTCTTTAGATTGTCCTCAACCGTAATGGGATTTGAGTTTTGACTTCAATAGTATTTGACTTTCTGATCACATCGAAATTGCAGGATGATAAGCGTTGCTCTGGTTGCGGTAAGCCATGGCCTTTGAGTAAAATTACAAAATCAGAAGCTGTTGACGAAGCAATGAATGAGGAGGAAAGCGAGACTCAAGCCGCAGCTCCAAAATCCAAAAGAAAAAGACAACTTAGGAGTCATGGAGACTCAACTGAAAATGGTTCTTCTCAAGCTTCTTTAGCTTCAACTAGTGGTGCTAATGCGAGAAGAGTAACCCGTAGCGGGCACTCGAGGTAAATTTTTTTTTTTTTAAACTCTGGTTTTAGGGATTAGATGTATATTTTGATGGCCGTTCTATGTCCAACCATCACTGGAAGTTTGGTCTGATCTGATGTTTTCTTTTGTGGATCATTGATGGAGTCATGGAGTGTTAAACTCCTCGGTTAAAGTGTACAACATATCTAAATTTTAATTCCGAGAATTTGATTTCAATTACAATTACTTAGGTTTCAGGGGATGCTAAATTTTGATTTTGTCCTTTGTGCATTTAACTAAAATTCAAATGAACTTATAAAAGTAAATTTTTGATTTATGGAAGGTAGGATATCTTTCTCAAAAAATTTCATTAAATGCTAAGATATCCAATTGACTTGAAATGCATTAATTCCGAATTTCCTGATAATTTTTTTTAATTAAGAATCTAATTTCACCTACATTTTCTACTAAGCTTTTTAAAAATGTTTAAGTCAATATATTTCTTTTTTCCAAATGCAGTAGAACTAAAAATCAAACTTCCATTTTGAACAGTGCAAATCTCAATTCTAGTTCAAAATAAATGAAACAAACTAAAAATAACATAATTCGAACCGAACCAAACTCTGAAAAAGCCCATCAATAGGCATAAACAAAACTAGCTCATAATTCACAACAGGCTCAAGCCCGTATCGCAATTTTCCGTGATCACAGTTGCTGATGCCGTTAACTTATCCACTTTTATTTTGCAATCCACCGTCACGGTCATCGTCCACGTCGTAACCTCGCCAACCTTAAACTGAACCGGCGCTTTCATTCTGAGACCAAACGGCACTTTTCCTTTCTTCTGCGATTCCGTTAACTCTTTACGCGACGAGCTCGTTAACTGAATACTCGATCCCTTTAACACCGTCACGATCACCGTCACATTATCCGCCGGCTGCTTAAACGCCGTGAACTTACCGTTACCAAGTTTGATTCCGCCGTAAAAAACGTCAGCCTCATTTCCTTTCTCGTATATCAAACCGAGTTTCTCGTTAACGTTCTGAGATCGCACCTTGATTCCGATCACCGGAGATAATGGAGAAGATGACGTCAGATTGATTCCGGTGACGGAGACTCCACTCACGGAGAATCTTGGCTTATGCGGCTGGTATACGAGGTAGAGGATTCCGACGGCGAGAGCTGCGAGGAAGAGAAGGATAAGTAAAGCAGCGAGGAAATGACAGAAACATCGCCGGCAATTCGATTGATTTGTTTTCCGGCGAGAGAGATTCTCGTAACGGCGAGCATTTTCCGGCGGAGGAACGCGGTAGATCTGATCCTTAGGGAGGTTGATGATGTAAGTCCCAGGCGGTGGTCCGATTCTCGGTTTCTGAGAGTCGACGGAGTATCGGCTCGAAGAACTATCATTGGTATCTATCGATGGATGCTTTATTCTGTGGACGTCTTTGTGAGTTACGTATCCACCGGAGTTGGTATCGCCGGTCATTTCTTGTGGTTTCTCGACGGTCATTTTCTTGAATCAAGAAATGGATCTTTTGATTTTGTGACAGTGAGGATTTGGAGTAAATTGCCGACTTTTAAATCATTTTATTATTTTTTTGTTATATAAGATTAGAGAAAGTGTATACACTTGGAGATTAGGACGTGATTGCATGAATATCGTCCAAATATCATTTTGGAGATTCTGTGATTACAATTATTTAATGAGTATTTATGATTTTGTTTGATTATCTATTAAACTTTCCATTCGTGACCAATAGAGAAAGAAATTGGAGACCCTTGAATGGAAAGTTTTAATAGATATATACGGTATGTAATTAAAAATTGGTCAATGTAAAAAACTTTTAACATTTTTTGCCAAAGAATAAAAATTGAAGAAGAAAATTAATGAAATAAACAAAAAAGCTTTAGTTGACTGAAATGAGAGGAAGCAGCCAATAGAATGGAATAATGGTAAGAAAAAGCCGGGAAAGATTTGATCATTTGAATAGAGAAATTTTAAATAAATACAAACTTGCAGATGAGTGATATGATAAGCTATTATAGTGAATGATAACAATAAAATGAACTGTATTTTTTTCTTTCTATAATCAATCAACTAAAATTAAATAAGTAGAGTTTTATAACATAAGGTCAAACGGTTGCTTCTATTTTCTTTATTTGCATCATCGGTTGTATTGGAAATATTTATGTACTAGGATATGACCCGCGGTACACCGCGGGTTAATTATTTGTTTTTTTTTTGTTTTTTATAAATTTGTAAATTTGTTGTGTATAATATTTTTTGTTGTACACCGCGGGTCACATGCGTTGTATATAAAAAATAAAAAATTTAAGTTGTATTTGTTTTTTTTACTATTTAAGATTGTATGATTAAATTTTGATTTGTTAATTCTAGGATTTCACCTGTGGTATATTGTCCCGTATTAATATCGACCCAAACCCGTCCCACCATATACTCCTGTCATGTGGAATTAAACATCATTTTGTTATTTTTTTCAATAACTTTGAAAGACATATAATTCGAGTCAATTTAAAAGTTTAGTTTCAAATGGTTTCCATAATATTTATATTTTTAAATTAGTATGTGTTTTTGGACCAACTCGTAAAACCAATTTATAATTGTATCTTAAAATACTAAATAATTGTATTTTGATTTGTTAATTTTAGGATCTCACCCGTGGTATATTGTCCCGTTTTAGATCATTCTAGAAATTAAGAAAAGATCTGAATGACTCAATTTCAGGTCAAAATAAAAAAAAACGACCTGATTAAATGTGCAATTTCTTCTTGAAAAATGTTCATATAGATTATACAGATATTTTTTTTCTTCATCGATTGAGTAATATATGTCTGTTTTAAAAAATTTGAATCATAACATATGTAGAAAAAAAAACTAAAATTTATTAACTATATATATTTTATAATAATTCAAAATAATATAAATATAAGATCAAATAAAAGTGAAATGATAATCATATATTTATGTTTAAATTAGGTAGAAAGGTTTTAGGAAATTAGCTCAAATTTGTTATATTAGCATTAAATTATCATATTTGATTTCCTAATCTATAAAAATTGTAAAGAATATACCATAAATAAAGAGTTTAGATATAGTAATTAGTTGAGAAATTATATATAATTTAGATTTTATTAGGTATTTTCGTTTTTAAATTTTGCCATAATTTAAGGAAAGATCCGATTGAAGATTTCCGGGTCAAAATCAGAAAAAACCTTACCCGATTAGAGGAGCAAATTTGTACTTCAAAAATGTTAAGTAGATTTTGTAAACTTTTTATGATATATAATATATTTGATTTGCTGGAAGAAAAAGTAGAGTTTTTTAAATAAGATATTCACAGATTGTTTAGTTTGAGATATATGTAGAAATATCTCTTAAAATTAATAAATTAACCATCAACATTCAATTTAAAATAATATATTGCTAATTTGACCATTTAAAAAAAAAAATTCCTTAATATGGGTAAAAATATCTCTTAAAATGATTTAAAAAATCAATTTTCTTAAAGGCACAATATCAATTTAACATTAAAAAATCTGTTATTTATAGAAAAAAATTCCCTATAAAAAGATATAATGAAAGTCACATATAGAAAAATATATATATAGTATCATACCAACAAAGTTTAAATTATTAAATTTCAAGAAATAATACATACAACTTGCTCAGTGAAATTGATAAGAGTAAAATAGCCAAAAAAATCAAACTTTTAACCTGTTTTTGACTTTAGAACACAAAATACACACCTCTAAACAAATAAAGCATTTTCTACTTTTCTTTTGTCAAAAAGAGAGGTTCTTCAAATCAATAATGAATTACTTTGAATGGGTCATTAACTTATTACGAAACCTAATCTTCTCCATGGCTACAAAGGCTATAAAATGGAGAGATCAAAAACTGTGTTTAATGAGAGAATAAGCAAGAAACAAAGCTATAAACTAGAAAACATAAATAGAAAACTCCATGAAGCTTTCTTTACTGAATCCAAGATGTGGGCAACTCTTGCTCTTGATTCTGCAGATTGTTGTTCTCCATTCCTACTGTTTCCACATCGCCACTGAAGTCAGTAGGTAAGACTAAACCAAGATTCTGATTCAGCGTCGAAGGAGAAGGACTCAAATCCTCAACCAAGTCATCGTTGTTGCTTCCTGTTTGTGGAGCTTTTGGTCTGTAGAGATTGTTGGGATGATTAAACTGGTCCTGAATGCACTGAACCTGCTGCTGCATCCGGTTATAATCCGGACAAGGAACCATTAAACCGGCCATACCATAGGGTTTAGTGGGTTGGTAGAAGGAAGTGACTTTGTAAGGACAAGTCATTTGGTGATTCTCTCTTAAGTTCCTGTCATGAAATCCCATATGTGGTTGGCTATAAGGACAGAGACTGTTCTCACATGTTAGGAGTATTGGTTGCATTGATATCCCAAAATCCTCTTCAAACTTCCTCTTGTAAACACAATTGTAGTTGTTTTCAAATTCAGGATACTGCTGATTGATCCGATAAGAGCCACCAATCACTTCAACATCATAATTTGCAGATTCAGGAAACAAAAGATTTGTGTCGCCACCGGTTGCAGGAACAAGAAAGTTACAAGTGTTGTTGTTTTCTCTAGAGAAGGCTATTTGATCAACAATAGCCTTTTCTCGGTTAAGAGCAGCGAGCCATAAAGCGCCTTCTCTTGAAGTCATTTTCTCCTGCAAACTTCTAGACCGTCTCACGAGATTCGGTATGTTGCTAATGTCAGAAGCCATATGTCTGATTACACCAATCAAGACACCAATTTTCCACAGCTTCTTGAGATCATGAGGCTTCTTGTAAGGTGGAGGAAGTCCTCGAAAATCCTCGGGTAAAGACAGTTGATCCCACCAATCTTCTTGTCCCGTTGGCCACCATGGTGGTGTCACGCCTTTCTCCAAAGGAAACCGCCTTTGAGGAGGCTTGCAGTGAGGCAACAGAGCCGATAACAGAGCTCCAAGAGTAGTATCTTGAAGCTCAAGCAACTTATGCGCGGTACATTCCCCAACCTCAGACCCTAAATCACTTCCATCAGAAAGATTGATATCCCGTTGGTGCTTGATTATAGCAGCTGGTCCGTTCCTGTCAAACCTCACTTTGTCTTTCCACCATTCACGGAGATTATCAGAAGAACCCGCTACCGTTTTCCCGTTCTCTAAAACGATCCCGTAAACGAAACCTTGAGCTTTGCATCGCTCCATTGTCTTAGACATGTACTTCAAGATCCCATCTTGTGCCTTGTACATCGTTCTCTTACTCGAATGCTCTGGAAAATCATCATGATGCTGCTTCAACAACAATCTTTTTCCTACACCGTTCCTCGCCATTTCCTTGAGCCGCTTTAAACGCTGCTTGTCTCTCCAGATCTTCTTCTCAAGCTCCTCTATTTCCATTTCTTCATCACTACTCAGATCATCGCACATAGCAACATGTCCCTCGGTAAATGGAGGCACCGGGCTACAAACTAAACCCCGGAACATCCCTCTATTGTTGTTATACAAATCCATACAATCTGCAAATAATGGAATCAACTATGATTCACTTAAGGAATGAAATTGCATAATCATTATTTAGTATAGCCATATAAATCGAAAATCTAAATTAAAACTCTTAGCAAACACACAAAAAAGAAAACAGAGACTTTCAGTGAAAGATCAAGAGATCTAACTTGTGAAATAAGATTCATCATATGAATACAAAGATTTAGAGATCCAAATTTCATTAGTTATTACTCCAAGGGATTGAATAAATACTATAGGAAATCTACTACCAAAGAGATTAAATACATACTAAAGGGAAAACTTTAGAGAAGGTAAACGAGATTAATGGTCTATCATCTAATGATTATATAGTTAAAGCATCGATTTTTGTCTTCTTTTGATTCTTATCAAAGCATCGACATAAAAGAAGTAAAAAACCAATTCAGTCCTTATTACTATTGAAATAATTGATCTTGCAAAAGTGAAAATGGAACCCATCGGACAAAATATTACAGAGACCAAACCCAACAAGTCGAAAAACAATTTTGCAAGCAGACAATATACGTAGAAATAAAACAAAACAAAACAAAAACAAAAAAAAAACAAAGAAAACAGAATCGAAGGAAGAAGAGAAATTACCCAGAAAACTATAGAGACCTTTTGTGTTGCTTCGGCCACCAAATTCAAACCAAAGAAGCTATTGGGACCCTCAGAGAGGAAGAGATAGAGACATGTATGTAATGTATGTTTGTGTATCTATATATATTATGAGCATTAAATAAGAAGAGACTGTGAAAGGGTGGTAATATAGGCCTGTGAAAAATCATGCTAAACGACACATTTCTTTGTACAAGGATATATATATAGTAAAATTTTCTTATTTATCTCCTTTGAGTTTCATTCCATTTCTAGTCCAGATTCTTTATCTAAATGAATATTTACTTGTTTCAAAAAAAAATTAAAATGCCAATAAAATGATTATTTCCCTCTAAAATTATTATGGTCAATATAAAAATATAATCATGTCCGCTATAAGAAAAAAATACCATATGTATATATATGTTTAAGCGCGAAAACTGTAGCGCTTAAAAAAACGAGTATTTTAAAAAATATATATGAATCAAGTACCAAATATATAAATAGTCTTTAAAGACGCGGGAATTTATTATACTAATGGTATAAAATCGTAGCGTATAAAATAGTTTTTAAGATTATCTTTATAAGATATTTAAATAATATTTTTAAATTAATACGGCGCGTAAATTTAAATTTTAAATTTTGTTGGCAATGTATATGTGCATTTATATTTTTGGGGAGTTGTACCTAATTATATCGGTCTAAATAAATAAATTTACTTAAAAATATAATTTAAAAGGAAACAATAAATAAAATAAGATAAAAACCAATTAGTAAAACAGTAAGTAGTATCGTACAGTTTATTTATACAAATTTTCTTGTAGTATTAATTTTCTCAATTATTTTCACAATGGACTTTAATTAAGATTCTTGCAGTTCTAAGAGGTCATGCATACTAAAAGTTATCATGCCCAAAGACTTACAAAATAATTACTCTCTTTGTATCAACATAAAAACGTTTGATTTTCTTACACACATATTAAGAACTTTTTCTTTATTTTACTAAATTAACATATATTTTATAATTTATCTAACAATAATTTAATCAATAAAAATAAACTAAAAATTACAAATTATCATAAAATATAAAAAATTACTTAATATGATATAGAATAAAATATCTTAGTAATAAATACAAAAGCTGGCAGAGCTAGAAAGAAAAGGAAAAAAATGTTGCCAGTACTCACTAATTAATTTTGTATATTTATTATGATACATATATTATTAAGTTAAAAAAAATTATTGAAGAAATTCCTTTAAATAGCTCCTATTTATGGTGAGGTTTTTTCAATTTTTATTACAAAAATATAAAAAAATGTCCAGCATGATTTATTTTAAAACATATAAAAGCATAAAATTTGACTACCTTTAAATTAAAATTAAAAAAAAAACATCTAGGTATGACATTTTAATTATATATATAAATATTTGGGTATGATTTTAATTATATATTTTTTATCAATATAATAACGATACTAACTCAAATCAGTAGACTACATATATTGTATTAGAGTTTTAGTTTTTTTTTTTACTCTATGTGAGTTTCAAAAAACGACTGATAGAATATATGTTGTTTATTATCCTTAGCACATTAAATTAAAAGTTAAAATACGCTTTCTGACTTTAGAATATCATTCTAAATTTTTTGTATTATATATTTAGATAAATTTCACCAACATATTCTATGTTAATTTTTGCATAAAAGTATTTAGTTTACCATTTTTTTGCATTCGTATATGCTAGATATAACAGCCTTTTAAATTGCACAAGCTCGTAGCATTATAAATGAAAAGTTTCATATATAGTTAAGTATTTTGTATTAAGAATTGTGAATTTTGTATTCTCTATGTATTTATAATATCTTATATACAATCAATCCCTATGGATACTGGCTCTAAATATTGACCAACAGATATGAATAGCATTATTGTCTATATATATTTTTCCATTTCCTCTTTAAGCATTCCATAAATGTATTTTTAATATAAAATTAATAGTTACAGAAGAAACAAGGTTTTTATTTTAAGAAAAAAAGAAATAAAAACCTGATAAAACAAGAGTGAAAAAAAAAAATCCAGACCATTTCAAAAATCCAAAATATAAAGATGATAATATGGTGTTTTAAAATCTATTTAAACCACACTTTTTTAGCGTATTGTATTGTTTTTCTATGCTGAATTGTGAACTGTGATATAATTGAGGATACTATTTTTTTCTTTAGACAAACGAGTATAACTATAACAAAATCAAAATGTCTATATGTCCAGTGGACAATTATGATTTTTATGTAAATAGATTAACATTTTGACAGTGATATTTCTAATGCACGACTATTAAAAAAACTTAGAACTCTCAACAATTATTCGTTCTTTAATTAAACTCTAGTTACTTTTGAGATTTCGTAATCTTGGCGCCATACTATAAATTGTCGGTTTCTCATTGCAAAATGGCATATAAACTAGTTAATAAATCATGAAAGGTTGACCTTAAATTATTGATGATATATTATCTATAACTGTTTGTATAACGGTCAACGTGTTGGTAATGAAACAGGTAATGTTTTCATTTATTTTTTGGTTATATATCCCTTGAGAAATGTCAACTAGTTATCTTGAATATCATATTTGATGTAAGTTCAAATGAGATACGGTATATAGTACAACTATAAACTATACGGTATAAACCTATTTCAAATCAAAGAAAAAACAATACCAGCATGATGTTTTTAGTTTTTATTTCGTAACATGATATTATAATGTTCTTTTAGAGAAAATGTAGAAGTGGTGCAATGAATAGAACCAAATAGCCAATAGGAAAGTAAACAAGTGCCACGAAGGCACGTTTCGTCGCCAGCAATGATTCTTTAAAATGTCTGAAACGTGTCTCCCGGGATTTTTTTGTCGGCTACTCCACAATTATTGGAACTCTCGTCGTTTTCCTATTAAGTAATGTTTTCATTGATATAGTAATGTGAAAAATATGTAACTATCTATCGTACACCTTAACCAATTAACGACCACTCGTAAATTGTTTTTAAACCTCCTTGCTTTGGCCTATATGCCTTACCATCATCTTATGAGTACAGTTTACATAGATTGTCACTTATTATTATTCAAAACGTAAAAGGTCCATTAGTATGTTCTTTTTCGCTTTGTTTAGTTGTGGCATCGATCGACTCATATTGTCACTTGTCAGCTTAATAATAACGTTTTAAACACCAATATTGATAATGCTTAAGTAAGTTTCTAGTCATATTGTTCTCATATTGTTGCGCCTTATATACCTTTCTTGACGTTTAAAATGTTTCGTGTTGGGGAACTGGCTCCAATTTGTTAGATTACATATGTTGGTTTCAAGATTTTCTTGTTTTATCTTTTTTTTTTTTCACCCTCTCTTTTTCATATGAGTGATAAATATATATTTGAATTTCGAAGTCGTGACACATTTGAAACTGTGAGACATATCTCGAGCATAGTAATGAACAGTTTGACAGAAAATGGTGAGACATGGTGATTTTGATATGTGAATTCGTTAAGCGTATCGAAAGTGCATATTTGTTATGTGTCCACATTTTAATAAAGTCCATTGTACTCATGTTTGTTGTTCAAAGCTTTATATGGCGAGTGGCGACTCAACGGTTTTATATAGAGAACACAACGTTTCTATTTTGGAATGTCTTGACAGGGCCCAAGTCATGCCTTGACATTTGACATGTGAGCCTCTATGCGGTGTTGTTCATATTTGTTTTATAAAAGTTAATTAAAAAATTTTGGTCTAGATTCAATTCAAATTTGAGAAAAGGTCCAATAAAAATCATTTGATAGTAATAGTATTATAAAAATGAGAATTAGATATTGCACTTATAAACTTAAGTCAAGTTATTGCAACTAACATCTCATTTGTGTTAATCAAATCGAGCAAAATCTTTACATTTGATGACTAAATACGTCTGTATCTACAACTTTTTTTTTTACTAAATCTAAAGTATTCATACCACAACTTTTTTGATTAATCCTAACAAAATTTTTATATTTTATGACTAATTTATACTCTGTATCTACAATTTTTAGTTATTAAATCTAAAACTCAAAAGTACTTATAGAAACTTGTATTTGATCAATACCTTTTCAAATAGCAATTACAATAAAACATCACTTTGTATATTTTCATACAAATACAAAACTAAAAATAGCAAACCCAATTTTTTCCTCACAAACAACTACAAATATTATTTTAAACGAAGCAAAAAAGTTTCGGTGTTGTTTGACTAAATTTGATTTGTTCTTTGATTTGTCCGATTCCACTGCTAAATAAATCTTGATTGATCTCTATTCACCAAGTCAATTCGGCTGGGAAAAAAGAATTGCTAAACCAATCCCGGTCAAAGTAACCGCTATAACCGACTTACCAACTATACCAATAACATGAACCAATCTTCGGTTTACAACATACGGAACACAACCAAAACAGAAACGCACACACTCAAAGGCCGCCACAATACAATTATCTAATTAATTGCGGTTCCGGTTCATGAGGAATTGCTTGGTTAAACCACAACCCAACGCTTCATCAGGTATCTTACCAATCCGGTTTAATCCCTCCGCGAAAACCACACCCATACCCATATGCAAATGCGGTTCAATATGACAATGAAAAAACCAAACCCCAGGATTATCCGTTACAAACCTTAACGCCGTCCATCCATACGGATACAAAATCGCCGTGTTCCGTAACGGCGGGTTCTTCAAGTTATAAGTCTTTTCATCAATTCCCGGTTTAAATTTCCCGTCACCGTAACCCAAAACCCAGAAATCGTGACCGTGTAGATGCCATGGATGAATCTCACTGACTACACCTTTTAAAACGTTTGCGTTTTGGATAATCACGTCGACCGTTACATTAAACGGGAAAACGTAAATCCCGTTACCTGTAGTGGTGTTAGGAAACGGCGGTGGATTCATAATGTCGTAATCCATACGGTAACTTCTCGGCGGCGATTTCCGGTTAAATCCGAGTTTCAAATTGTATTTAACCGAACCGAGATATGGCGTTGCCGGAGTCACTAGAGAGACGTTGTTAATAGCCCATTTTGTGTAT